ATGCTAGATGGCTGGATGCCAATCTGAGATGGCTGGATGCCATTGTGAGATGGCTGGATGCCAATTTGAGATGGCTGGATGCCACTGTGAGATGGCTGGATGCCAATGCTAGATGGCTGGATGCCAACCTGAGATGGCTGGATGCCAATGTTAGATGGCTGGATGCCATTGTGAGATGGCTGGATGCCAATGTGAGATGGCTGGATGCCAATGTGAGATGGCTGGATGCCAATGTGAGATGGCTGGATGCCAATGTGAGATGGCTGGATGCCAATGTGAGATGGCTGGGTGGAACAACCCTCTTGGGGATCGACAGATCCGCGAGCCACCGTGGGGAGGGACCCACTGGGCGAGCGACAAAACCCCAGACGCGACAAGCGACAACTAATGGCCTGACGACGGCTGCAAAAATGCAAAGTTTTTATTGACCAGTTCGATTTGAATCATTTTCGCATGAATTACTGCGGGCTCTTTACTATCCACACTACGCTAGTTTGTTTCACAGTTCACATCCTGGTTTTTCACATAAGGTGCGTTCAACTCAATCTTGCTTACTTACGCGCACTTGCATTTTCCACATATTGTGGCGCACCATATGATATGGTCCATATCGTGTGTTTATTACTCCTTGTTCGTTGCGTACTGTGATTAACATTAACAAGTACTAACATTTTAGTGCGTACTACGCACTGCGTAGCATGTATGGCACCAGTGATCTAATGCTGTGGCGCGGCATCTTTTGCATTAGAGCTGCCAGCTGCTCCGGACATGAGGCAGATAGTTAAAGCTCGTTTCCTACACCTCCACCTCTATACTGGTCACATTGCATGCAGTGCTTGGTGGTAGTTGACCTGCGACGTGTGCCTATCATTCATGCAAGTACTGCAAAATACTTCAGCCTATCGTGCTCAAGCCTTGACACGCGTAGTAGCGACGAGCCCCCGCAGCGGAGGCTCTCCCAGAGCCGACTGCCGGGATCGGAGCCTACCATACAGGTCTACCGTCGATTTCAATCCAGGTTTCTCAGCGTCTTCAATTTGGTGCGCTCAAGCGTTAGGCTTTACATGCAATTTTCAATAACATGAGCTTTATAAGCTCTACAAGCCGTACCTCGCACACACTTAGTCTTTAACTGGTATTAGAACCTACGATCCTCAGTGGAGATTCCCCACCCAGGGAGATCTGGATGCCAATGTGAGATGGCTGGATGCCAATGTGAGATGGCTGGATGCCAATCTGAGATGGCTGGACGCCATTGTGAGAGGGCTGGATGCCAATTTGGAAGGGCTGGATGCCATGGTGGGAAGGCTGGATGCCATAATGACACAATCCCACAATGATTGTGGGTGAGCTAGTAGTGAAAGTTGACTTGCCTGGCTTGTTGTATCGGGTTGCAGTGTGAGTCCGACTCCACGTACCATGCTCTAGCCTAACGACTCAAAAATGCTTTATTTCTTTGAGTGAGTTAAATTTCAATCGTTGAAACTCAACCCCTGACTGATGTGGTGGTTGAATGTCAATCTTTGGATCTCGGTTAGTACTGGTAACTAAGTTTCGCATTGCAGGGGAGGTCAATTTCGTCTCGTCAGTGAGTCCCTGAAATATTTTTGAACTGTAATATGATTTGTGATCATCGGTACGTGGTATGAAATATATCACGTATGCGTAGTACGAAATATAATATACTATACGAGGTTCGGGCGCGTGAATGTTGACTTGCCTTGTTAGGCTTCTCGACTCGAGAGTGAACGCGGACTTGCCTGGTTCGAACTTATCGAGCTGCAGCGTGAGTCTGCCTTTACTTACCATCTAATATAGTGAGTATAGTATTTTTGTATTGCTTTTAGTGGATTGAACCTCGGTTAGTGACGTCGCATTGCAAATGAGCTCTATTTGCTCTGTCAATGGTTTCCACAAGCATTCGTTGAACTGATACAAGATTTTAAATCATCGGCACGTGATACGAAATATGGTGTATAACCTCTTCTTGAGATGTTCTGATGCGCGGATGTTGACTCGCCTGACTCAATTTCACGAGAATGAGGA